TAAGAGGCCATGCAGTTCGGTGCCAGAGCACAGGCCACCAGTACAGTGGTAAGAATGAACCTATGGTTAAATCATTGGAAGATGGACCCTCTGTCTACTGAAGAGAAGAAACCTTCAGGTAAATTCCAATGTTTCGTTCTCCCAGATTAGAGTCCGCGCACTTAACCACTACACCAATCTGGCTCTGTGGTGTGTATTCCTCTCATCACTTGAGAGGGGTTAAGAAAATCCTTTTCTTCTTTTTTTATGACTAATAAACACAGCCCAGTCTGGAGACAGAAGGGGGGGGGGGCAACCTTCTAGGGCTTTGCTGCATGATCTTGCAAAACTATAATCTCTTTTGATTGAAGGTCTGCAGATTACATTTGGACCCAACATACAACAGTCACAGTTTCTAGAGAGATGAGTGTAAGGGGGGGGGAGGAAGAGGAAAAGAAGAAGATGTTGGTTTTTATACCCCACTACTCTCTAATAAAAGGAGTCTCAGGCTGCGATCACACGTGCCTTTAGATCTGACATAGGCGCGAATGCCTGACAGATCTAAAGGGAACGATCAGACAGCAACAACTGGGAAGCGTCCCGCTTGTCGGCAACCTGTGCTGCTCCGCCACAGAAGCAGAGTTAAAAGAAACTGGGGAAATTCTGCTCTAATGGGTTCCGACGAGCCACGGACGGACTTCCCCCTGTCTGATCACTTAAGCATCCTCTCAAGCTGTCAGGATGGCTTGAGCATGTCATCCCGGCTCAGTGCCATTCCCCCCCCCTCTTCGCAGTATGCGCATCATCGCATAATCCATAGGGAGCCCTCAGAGCGGAGGTGCGATTCCTCATTTATGCGCATGGGAAACAAACGCCCCCCCCCAAAAAGACTCACCTGCAGTTGCGTCTTATCACACAGTGATGGGCTGGGCCACTACCCCCTATAGATGGGGTATATATATATGTAGACATATATAGGGGGCAGTGGCTGGGCCCACAGCTACAAAGGAAGGTTTGATCTCGGAACTGCCAAATTACTCTGGAGGGGGTAGCCTCGCTCCCCCTCCACTTCAACTGGCAGGTGTGACCACAGCCTTAAAGTGGCTTACAGTCTCCTTCTTTTCCTCTCCCCACAATGGGCACCTTGTTGGGCGGGTGGGGCTAAGAGAGTTCGGAGAGCACTGTAACTGGCCCAAGGTCACCTGGCAGGCTTCATGTGGAGGAAGCACATGGAGCAGGGATGCTCAGTATGGTTGGTGCTTGGGGGGGGGGCAACAGTGGGAGGGCTTCAGGATTTCTGGCCCTGCCGGTGGACCTCCTGATGGCAGCCGGGTTTTGGCCCTTGTGTGACACAGAGTGGTGGACTGGATGAGCCATTGGCCTGATCCAGCATTGTCTTCTCTTATGTATAATGAGGAGTGGGGGAATGCAGCCTGCTTTTCAAGATTAGAGTCTGCCACTCTTAACCACTACACCACGCTGGCTCTGAGAGATTTGGGGGGTGGAGCTTGAGGAGGGCGCGGCTTGGGGAGGAGAGGGGCTTCAATGGGGTATAATACCACAGAGGCCACCTTCCAAAGCCGCCACTTTCTACAGGTGAACTGATCTCTGTTGCCTGGAGATCTGTTACAACACCAGGAGAACTCCAGCCACCACCTGGAGGCTGGCAAGGCTAATTAAGTAGGACTTACCTCTGACTGGAGCACCGGGAAGCTTGATGCGAGAAGGCTTACAGAACCCCTCTGCCCAAGACGTACATGGAAGACCAAACCCTTTCCTACAAACCTCGCCTTTTCATTCTGTGATATCTACCCCCAGCAGGAGGGAGGGAGGGAGACAGACCGAGAGTTCTGGTCCAGAAACAAAATTCTTTTAAAAGCCTTGCCTTTTCAGGAACGCTAACATTCAGGTCACCAATCTGAGCGATTAGCAGGTAATTAATTGGAAAAGTCATCCCAGAGCACAGTTTTTACAAAGCCTCTTTATCCATCTTTTAATTATGCTGGAGTGGGAATTGTGACAGGGTGTCTGGGGAAGGTGACAGAGAGCGAGAGAGACGATAATTGGGTGTCTTTCCCTCCATTTTACATTGTTAACAACTCTAAGCCAAGCTCAGCCTTCTGGTCTGGAGATACATCCTTTCAAGAGGGAGCTTTAATTATTAAGTGTTTCACATTTTTCTTCTTCTGTGTTTTTAAAAAAGCAGAATGGAAGATCTGCCAGGGATCTGGTGCTCAGCGAAGAGCAGATGGGCAGCTTTACAAGGGAAGGTATGATCAGATATTGAAGGCGGCAGCGCCTGCCCGGACACAGCAGACTCCCTGATCCCCGCCTCCGCTCACAATTGTACAGTGCAATCCTAAGCAGGGGTCGTTTCGTAGAAAAAGAGCTAGGGGAACTCATTAGCATAACTCATTAGCATATGCCACACCCCCTGACATCACCGGAAGTGTGTCATAAGGCCACACACCCTGCCCCCAACGGTCCCGGCTGCCGGCGGCAGCCTTGCAGCTCCACTGCCGAGCCCCATGAGGCCCTCCCTGGCCCGAGGCAGGCAGGGGTTGGGAGAGGCAGCTAGGGGAACCTATTAGCATATGCCACACCCCCTGACATCAGGGGCCCGGCGGTGGACCTGCAAGGCCGGCGGGAGTGCGAGGAAGCCCCGCCAAGGCCCTCCCTGGCCCCAGGCAGGCAGGGGTGGGGAGAGGCGGGAAGGAAGCAACTTACCCTCCCTCTTCGCCTGCCTCCTCCTGGCTGAATGAGGGCCGGAAGTGGGGCGGCCGGAAGCAGGGGGCGGGGCTTCGTCATGTGCCCCGCCCCCGTACCTCACCCGGGGGAACTGCGATCCCCCGCGATCCCCCCCGAAATGACCTCTGATCCTAAGCAGAGTTACACCCTTCTAAGCCCATTGACATCAACGGCCTCTGAAGGATGTAACTCTTTAGAGAGCTGCACTGTTAGCTCTGCCAGGAGTGAGCGTTCTAAGATTTCTCCTCTCTCTATATACACACTTGCAAGATCAGTGCTATCTGGAGGGCACAACCCACAAAAAAAGTGGTCTTTGGGCTGGTATACACATGCAAGTGATGAAGCATTACATGCATGTGTGAATGCGCAAGTGCAGACCTAAGGATGTTCTGACATGACCATTTTGGTTTCCTTTTGGTTCCATATGTTGAAGTTGTCATAGATTTTGGTCTCTCATTTTCATGACATGCAGTTTATGTGCAGATGATGCACAGATGACACCACTGGATCATTTCTCACAAGACAGAAGCAAAATTCAAATGGTGACTCCCAAATCAAACCAGTAAGGTTGCGAAAAGCAGTCTCATCCCTGCACAGATGAAATAACAGACTTGGACTCAAATGCAATGTGTTGCGCTGACTGTTTTACAGTGGAGGCCTTTTATCTGTTCCACCACAAATCACACAACTGTCTGTACCCGCATGCACGAGCCAGCTCTCTGGGTTTTAGGATGGCTCCACATAAACAGTTGCCACAGGGTGACAACGTTGTCTGAGCTGCAGGAGGGCTGCTCTGTTCATCTGGAGCGTTGCTGGAACAACACTGTGTATTAATTGGAGAACAGTTTTTGAGGACCAGTCTCCACTTTGCCCTCTGGCAAAAGGCACTCTGGCCCACAAAAGCATCTGCCACAGTAACTGTGCTCAGATTGAAGCTGGCAGAAAATTCGCTGCTCTCATCTCTGGAGTGTTCTCCTCAGCAGAGAAATTTGCAGGGAGCTTCTTTTGCTATGCCAAAAGCTCTCGTACATTTTCTCCTTGTAGGAACTTTCCCCCCTCTGTTAAGGATTGCCATGAGAATGGGATAAAAATATTAAATTTAGTATGTTGACTCAGTATTTTGGTCCTAATATTGATTCACAAGTTCGAGGTTGTTGTTTTTTTTAATTGTCCCTCAGAGTCAGCTTTGTTTTGCTTGATAAACTCATTAAAATCCACCTCCTTTGTGAACCTTGAGTAGTTACTTCCGCATTGCCATTTTAGTCACGCGTTTGTCCCTATTGCTTCAGGGCTCCCCCCCCCCAATGTGTTTTGCTCTCTCTAGAAGTCCCAGAGGGAGCAAAACACATGTGGAAGAGAGGGGGGACCGAAAGCAAAAGGGACAAACAAGCGACAAAGCTGTGCCTCGGCCTCTGCCGCAGACAAGCATGGCTGTCCCTCCAGAGGCTTGCTCTTAGCAAGCAGGTCTTCTGTGAGGGAGACATGGGGTGGGATTCACTGTAAGGCCCTGCTTCATATCCAAGCTCAGAACTGGTTTTATGAGGCCCATTTAGAGGTGGAGATGGAGTCAGTGGGCTGCCCACTGCCCACTACCACGGTCTTCCCTTCCTCTAGACACTCCTGGTCTGGTGACTGGCAGGAGGGGCAAGTAGGGAGCCAGATTTGGGGCCTCCAGCTGTCCACTCATGCTCTGTCTCCTTTCATATCTTAGCTAGAGTTGCCTCAGAAATGTAAACTTAAGATGGGGAGCCCCAGCAACCTTTTGAGGGAAGTTAAAGCAATTTTTGAAATTAGGGATGGCGGCAGTCTACATATATCTAAATCTTCCAAATAAATTCCGTGCTCAAAACAGGAGTGCCGCCTCCTCAATTCTTACACTAAGAGAAGTAATTTTCAGTGCAGCTTCAGTCAATTGGACAATACTGCGCATCTTGGTCAATTTTCCCCTCATAAAATCACAAAAAGGTTTTGTGCCCCAATTCTGCTTAAAAGTCATAGTCTATGAATTAGACTCTAGTATCTGGGAGCTCACTGTAGGGCCCCAGAGAAGGACCATTTCACACCCATCAAATTATTCAATATGGGATGCTTTATGGCCAAAACCCTAGAGTAGCCAGCCCTTAAAAAGGGATCTTCCTTTGCAGTTGATATCAAATGCTAAATAACTTCACAAAGCACATTTCCTGGCTGCTCCTGGCCAAACAACCTCCAGGACGTCTTCAAATTGGAGGCCCGTTCACCCCCCAGGCCAAAGACGTGATTGGCTTACTTACCGCAAAATAGGATTGGAATCCATCACTCCAGAGGACAGCCAGGTCAGCGTTCTCAAATTCGCCTCGATCCGACATGCCGAAGAGGAGCCCAAATTTCAGCTCTTTGAGCAAGATCTGGAAATGCACCTCTTCCTGGCGGTAGCTGACGTTCCAGGAGAGCTCCACAATGCCTTGTGGGTCCAGGGGCACTCTGTAAGGGAAGTCGTTCTCTCGGGGAACCGTGCCTTGCAGGGTGACAACCAAGATGACCAGGAAGACCGCAAGCATGGTGAGATACACGGACGCTGCTTCTCGGAGCTTGAGAGGTGGGCAGGAGGGCCTCAGCCGCCGCTGCCGCCTGCCTATGGTTTGCATCCTCGGAACAGAAAGCTGTTGGCTTCCCCCATTTATATGCTGGCCCTCCTGGGCAACTGGGTAAGTAATACCCTTTAATTACATTTAGTGGTTGGGAAATTGGATTGCAGCATTGACCTGCCCCCCTCAGCCCCCCCTCCCCTTTCCTAATGCAAACACTTGTCGCTCTCTGCCTCTTCCTAATTGACTCTAATTGTCCATGGACATTATCAATGGGAATTGAACTGGACTGGATGGATTTTTTAAAACGCCCTCGCAATGTTTCCGGAGCACAGCAGGCCGGAACGGAAGCTGTTTACCTGCAAAGTGTTGTCCGCTGCGTCGCTCCCCTCCCTCCTGACACCAGGCAGCTGGGGAGGGCCTTCTCCACCAGCCGTCTGATCGCTTGTTTCAGAAGTGCCAGGGGTTCAAGGCTTCCCAGAAAACCCAGCCTCCAAGAACCTATTCAGCAGCCGACGAAAATGGCAGACGTGCCATCTTTGTTTACCGTCTCTACCCATAAAAGGCAAGGCTGACATTTAGGCTGGAAATACTTGCTCAGGGAGCCCACGCGTGCCTCGGGACTCCCAGTCCACCCCCACCCCCACCCCACTGCAAAGCAATTTGTGGCAGAGAAGTGGCAGGTCTGCCTGGAGCCTGCTGCGGTCTTCGCCCCTCTGCCACTTTGCTCTTGCCACACTCCCTCCAGTGTTTATTCTCCCCAGGTGGTATGGGAAAACAGACACCCGGAGCCGTGGCTGGGGGAGAGGAATAGCAGGAGGAGAGCACTGTGGTGGCAAAAGCAGCAGGTGGAGAGAAGGGTTAAACACACGGGGAGAAAGAAGCACTACAAAGGACTAGTGGATTTGCCAGATAGGGTTTCCAGCTCCAGGCTGGGAAATTCCTGGAAATTTGTGGTTGGAGCCATGGGGATGGCAGGGTTGGGAGAGGAGAGAGACCTCAGCAGAGTATAATTTTCTCTTGGGGAACTGATCTCTGTTGTTTGGAGATCAGTTGTAATTCCAGGAGATCTCCAGGCCCCACCCGGAGGAGGCAGGCAAACCTAATTTCGCTGCAGTGGGAAAAGGAAGGAGGAGGAAGTTTTCCCAGCTCCTGGGGACATGCAGAGTGCTTTCCCCTGCGTTCCCAGACATCATTTTAAAAACATAAACTGCCACCACTTTGTATATTAAAAGCTCTCAAACATGCTTCTCCAGTCCTCTTGTACAATCGTCAAAAGAATCTCAATATTTAAATAAATAAAAACATGGCATTTCTTAAGGTAGAAGGGCAGCTAATAAATATTTTAAATCAATAAATGAAATTCCCAGGGAGCAAAGGCTGATAGCATGACTGTCAACTCATGAGGAGGCAGAGTGGTAATCCCACCAGCTCACTTTCATATTTCACAGGGAAAATATTTATTATAAAAAGAAACAGAATATAAAAAGAAATAGATATGTCCAGGCGGGATACAAAGTTTACTTACAGATAGAATCATAAAACTAGGTTATTTTTGGTGGACCGAAATTTCCCATTTCGGATTGTCTGGTAAGCATTTATTTTTAGCCAATGAGAGAGAGCATAAAACAGCCAGTGGTAAGGAGAAAAAATGCCTTGGGGCTTGGCAGGGGAATGCCAATTCAAACACCTGTGAAAAGTTCCTCTACCCTTTGGATGGAGACAGGTGACTGTCCATATGAACCTATCAGGGGTGGGAAACTGGGGAATGCATAAACTGGGGACTTCTGTCACTGGGGACTTCTGTGTTGAAAGGAGATTCCACCCTCATACGGGAGGGAAGAGAAGCTTCCGGTCTCTTGACAAAATGGATTTTGATCACCTTGACCACCTTTAATGGAGCTGCTGAAGGCCAGACCCATTTTGGCCTGGATTCAGGCCTGGGTTTAGGATAGAAATGGCCTTGTTCATCCTGACTGCTGATCTTTGGGGGAGAGTGATGGGGTGTAGGTCCCTGTTGATTCTCCTGGACTATCAGTGACTTTCAGTTCCTATTGATCATGGAAAGGCTGGCTCGGGCTGGGAGCCGGGAACACCATGTTTTGGTGATTCTTATCTTACTGCCTTTTGGAGCTAGCCAGTGAAGAAGAAGAAGAAGAAGAAGAAGAAGAAGAAGAAGAAGAAGAAGAAGAAGAAGAAGAAGAAGAAGAAGAAGAAGAAGAAGAAGAAGAAGAAGAAGAAGAAGAGAAGAGATTGGATTTATACCCCGCCATTCACTATCCAAGGGAGCCTCAGAGCGGCTGACAAACTCCTTTCCCTTCCCCTCCCCACAACAGACACCCTGTGAGGTAGGTGGGGCTGAGAGAGCTCTGACAGAAACTGTTCTTTTTCAAGGACAGCTGTTATCAGAACTACGGCTTGCCCAAGGTCATCCAGCAGGTGCAAGTGGAGGAGTGGGGAATCAAACCCGGTTCTCCAAGATTGGAGTCCACGCACTTAACCACTACACCAAACTGGCTCTCTGAAGTGCTGGGGGGGGCTACTCGCCTCTGTGGCATTTATACTAAGGGGTCCTTCAGTGGTCCATGCTTCCCCCCTCGTGCTGTTGGATATCTACATGGAACTGCTAGGGGAGATCATCAGGGGACCCGAAGTGAGGCAGTACTAATATGTGGATGATACCCTACCCTGTTTCTCCTTCTCTGCTGAGCTGTGTGGCTGTGTCCTGAACGGGGGCCTGAAGAAACCGAAGCTCAGTCCAGATAGACTGAGGGGCTGTTGGTCAGATGAGAAGTGGTCAGGGACTGCAGAGTCAGCCCACTCTGGACAACGGTTGCCCTCCCCTAAAAGAGCAGGTTCAGGTAGGGTTGCCAAATGTTTTTTGGCCGAGAGCGGGGGGCTCCCGGCCGGCGTCCTAGAGTTTTCCCCTCAAATGGCGTGGCCCCGCCCCCAGCGTGCGACGTCACTTCCGGGTGACGCGCACGCGGGGGTGGGGTTTCCCCCGGGCCCCAATTCCGCGGGAGCGGAAATCGGGGCTCGAAAGCGGGGGAAATTCCACCCCCCGGGGGCATTTGGCAGCCCTAGATTCAGGGCCTGGAGGTGCTGCCGGATATTTCGGTTCTCCTCCATGGCATCTTGTGCCTTTTATCACCTTCAGCTGAAACGCCAGCTATGGCCCTTCCTCTAAAAGCAGGGCTATATTTGGGCAAGAACGCGCAGGAACGGAGTTCCGGCTGGCTTCAGAGCTGGCCATGCCCACTACAGCCAAAACCTTTGCATGCATGGCTACAGAGGGAAGGCCTGGAGAGTAACCCCCCCCAGTGACTCTGAGGTGGGTGGGCCAGGGGAGGCCCTGGAAGGATCGGGGAGGCCTTTAAATGCCTCCCCGTGCCTTCCCTGGCCTGTTCAAGGGCCGGCTTGACAGGGTCCCCTGCAGCCACGGGGCACCCAGGGAAGCCAAGTGAAGGCAGTTTAAACTGCCGTCCCTTTCTTTCAAGGGGGGGCTTGCCCGGGCAAGCCAAGGGAAGACATGGGGTGTGGTCTAATATGTTAATGAGTCTAAAAGTGTGGTCTGGCCATACTCTAATCACATCCAAGGGTGATTACTGTAATGTACTCTACAAGGGTCTGTCTTTGAAAACTGTCCAGAAACTTCAACTAATCCAAAATGTGGTCTCCAGATTATTGTTGGATGCAGGGATCATATCACCCCTGTGCTGAACGGTCTGCACTGTCTGACTGTCTTATTTCGGGCACAGCTCAAAGTGCTGGCCCCAAATTGCTTGAAGGACTGCCCCCTCCCACACTGTCCAGCCCACCACCAGCTAAAAGCTTCCTCCAAAGCCCTGTGCTCTGTACCGCTGCTGTCAGAGGTGAGGCGAGGGGCAACCGAAGACAGGACTTTTTTGGTGGCGGCACCTGGCTGGTGGAGCAGGCTTCCCACTGAGGCTTACCTACTCTTTTTTAGGTGCCGGGCCAAAACATTTCCACTTACTCAGGATTGCCGTCAAAAGGCTAATTTACTGTCTATTTATAGTCCTCTCCTATCTGAATTCTCCAGAGACTCATTTTAAGCTGCTCACTGTTTTATGGTTTTTAAAACTGTTCACAACTTTGATGGCATTTTATTTACTTATTTTTATATTTTACTTCCTATTGCTTTGCATCATTTCTCTCCCTGTGTGTTACTGATATGCATGTATAAGATATTGCTAGAAAAGCAGACTTGGTGTGATGGTACTTATGACTTAATCCAGTGTCTTTACTTTTGGGTATCACATCACCACTGCACATGTGCATGCGTGCGTGTTAGTAAAAAGCAAAAGGAGAAGAATTTGGATTCAGCTGTAGGGAGAAGATTGCTTTCCCCACAGCGTTTTATCAAAGCACGCAGGTGCATTAGTCATGCAGAGCTGTGGGGAAAGATGTAGACCTCTTTTTAACATCAAAAAATGTCACAGACGTGATAGTAGTTGCATCATTAGTATTCACTGATTGAGAAAGTAGTCCCGGAAAGTGCCGTCAAGTCTCAGCTGACTTCTGGTGACGCCTCCAGGTGTTTTTGGCGTAGTGGTTTGGTGTAGTGATTAGGAGCGCGGACTCTAATTGGGGAGAACCGGGTTTGATTCTCCACTCCTCTACATGCAGCTGCTGGTGTGATCTTAGGTCAGTCACAAGTTATCTCAGAGCTGTTCTCTCAAGGACAGTTCTGTCAAGAGCTCTCTCAGCCCCACCTACCTCACAGGGTGTCCGTTGTGGGGAGAGGAAGGGGAAAGGAGATTGTAAATCACTCTGAGACTCCTTCGGGTAGTGAAGGGCCATGGGGTATAAATCCAATCTCTCTTCTTCTTTGTCTCTTATTTTCAGGTGAGTGTCAAGGTCCCATTAAAACAACGTAGTCACTTCTTGTAGAAAAGGGTACTTTATTGAGGCAATGAGTCACTAGAGAGGTTTCTGTTTAGAATAACATGAAAGGACCATAGCAAGTAATATAAACGGATTTCAAAATGTTGCTAAGCCAATGAGTCTACTTCCCGCTTGGAAATTCAGAGCGCCAACTT